ATATATATATATATATATATATATATATAATTAATATAACATATATGAATAAATTCTACCATATTTAATATGTATAATATGGCCAGAAAAAAAAACTGAAAATAAGGTAATGTACATGTAGATTAAGACTGAGGGGTCTGAATTAAAATAAATAAAAATATAAAATAAAATAATAATAATAAATAAATAATAAATTCTGTCATTGTGTATAATATGACCATAAATTAGCCGGGAAAATAAGTGATTTCCCTTAGATAGGTGATTTAAAGTACATTAAGATAAAAAAAAAAAAATAAAAAAAAAAAAATATATATATATATATATATATATATATATATATATATATATAATTAATATAACATATATGAATAAATTCTACCATATTTAATATGTATAATATGGCCAGAAAAAAAAAAAACTGAAAATAAGGTAATGTACATGTAGATTAAGACTGAGGGGTCTGAATGAAAAATAAAAATAATAAATAAATAAATAAATTCTGTCATTGTGTATAATATGACCTGAAAACAGCCGGGAAACTAAGTGATGTCCCCTAGATTGGTGATTTAAAGTACATTAAGACTTAGAGATTTGAAAAAAAAAAAAATTTATTATTAAATATATAAACAAATTCTACCATATTTAATATGTATAATATGTGATGTACAATTAGATTAAGACTGAGGGATTTGAACTCAAATAATAATAATAAATAATAATTTTAATTTTTAGGGCATCACGGTGGCACAGTGGGTAGCACTATCGCCTCACAGCAAGAAGGTCGCTGGTTTGAGTCTCGGCTGGGTTAGTTGGCATTTCTTTGTGGAGTTTGCATGTTCTCCCCGTGTTCGTGTGGGTTTCCTCTGGGTGCTCCGGTTTCCCCCACAAGTCCAAAGACATGCAGTACAGGTGAATTAAGTAGGCTAAATTGGCCGTAGTGTATATATGTGAATGCAAGAGTCTATGGATGTTTCCCAGTGATGGGTTGCGGCTGGAAGGGCATCCGCTGTGTAAAACATGTGCTGGATAAGTTGGCGGTTCATTCCGCTTTGGCGACCCCAGATTAATAAAGGGACTAAGCCTAATAGAAAATGAATGAATGTATAATATGGCCAGAAAACAGCGCTAGGGGATCTACGTGTAGATTAAGACGGAGGGATTTGAACTCCTAAAATAAGCTCAGCCGTTGTTTATTCTTAATTGGGTTGTGAGATTAATCAAATTGGAATCTCGAACTGAAGAGATCACTGAAGCATGTTCATGGCAGCACTGCAGATGTTGGTGAATGTGCTCATTTCACACCTCTGCTGCAAAACATAAAACATGTCAGGTGAGAGGAGCAGCGTTACACACAGCAAATCACAGTATCGCATATTAGCCTTCCTGCTTGATTATCTAGCCCAGTCTGTTTCATGCATTAATAAAAGTGCAATCACTTGCATGAACGACTATAGCCTACTTACTGTCTCATTGCACTACTGGATCTGTTGTTTGAGCAGTAGGGGAAAGCGTGTCAAGTAAGCCATGTGTTGGGAAAAACACTGGTTGTTCATTCCAGAAACAAATATGAGAATAAAATGTATTCACAGCTTGACATTCAGAAATACAGTGCTCTGAAATGACCAGGACTGCTCTCTGTGTAACTTATCTGACCGATGTTTGGCTGAAAAGATACCAGCATATCCTCTGCTGTCCCACAAGGCTCTGTATTCAGCCCTGTGCTGTTCTCTGTGTTTACATATAAACGTGTCCTTTAGCAGCTGAGACATCTGCATGTTGTTCATTTGAGAGAGTTATCATAATAATAGCAATGTAATAATGTATATTACGGTGGCACAGCGGGTAGCGCTGTTGCCTCACAGCAAGAAGGTTGCTGGTTCGAGCCCTGACTGGATCAGTTGGCATTTCTGTGTGGAGTTTCAGCCTGGGGTTCGTTCTTCATATCTCGCTTAAATGATCTAAGATTATTTGGCAGATCCTGGATCTTTTAATCTTGATTACTGATCTCTCGCTAATTTGGTTCTTCAAACAAGTTCGCGAATCAGATTAGAATGTCTGGATAAACTGATCTGAGATCGCTGCGTGTGTTGTGAAGGACAGATCTATCGATCCTCGAAATCATGATCAGCAATGCAACGATTGGCTGACGGCACAGCTGCGTAATGACATCATCTGATTAATATTCAATTATCCATGTGAGCAAAATTACATCAAATTAGCAGTAAACGGCTTGTTAAATATGACACGCAATAACCTTCCACATTTGTTGTGAGCTGCAGGCTTTACACTTTCATGTGTCAAGAGTATTCATCATGTATTTCAATGCATATCAGTGTATTTAGTTCCACATTTAGAAAAGATTTTCTTTATTATAATAGCCGTTTTTTTAATCGCTGTATGGAATAACTGGATGTTTTCAAAAGCATTTTGATATTGGTAAAGGCGTCTGCAACTTTTGTTAAGCATAATCACTGGCATATTAACTGTCAAAACATGTTTATGACTGCATTAATGTATAATTTATTTTTTTTTAAAAGTCACACATTGTGCATTTCTATTATACACAATTTGTACTAAGGCGATCTAAAAAGTTCATAAGTTTTCTCTTTGCACCAGCAGGTGGCAGTCTTTGTACTTTCATTTCGAGGGTGCAGATTGCATACGTTTTATTAATATGTATAACTTTATTTATTTTATTAATAACTATAACTTTATATATATATTTAAAATAGTTACTATTTTCACAAGTGTATATAACTACTATTGTAAGAAAATATCAGAATTCGGTACATACCTTCTCTATTATCTTTGCTTGAACTGACCCAATCTAATCCTGTTTATATGAATTGAACCTGCTCCCGATCAGGTTTAAGCTAGCAGAACTGTTGCTATGACAACAACTCTCGGATCAGCTTTGAAGAACGAAACGATCCTGGATCATGTCAAATCGTCAATATCCAAATCGAGCTAACTGAGTAATCCACGTACGAAGAACGGACCCCAGATCTCACGAGAAAACGTAAATATTTTACGTTTTGCCAGTTTAGTGGCTAATTCGTACGAATTCGTATGAGTTCAGTCGTACGAAATTGTACGATTTTAAAAAGGAGGCGTGGCACCTAACCCCACCCCTAAACCCAACCGTCATTGGGGGATGAGCAAGTCGTACTACATTGTACGAATTGGATCATACGAATTCATACGAATTAGCCACTAAATCAAAAAGTTATGAATCGCTGTGAGATTGTATTGGGAGTTTGCATGTTCTCCCCGTGTTGGCTTGGGTTTCCTCCGGGTGCCGGCCAGCTCTAGGAAGAGTCCTGGTGGTTCCACTTACGGATGATGGAGGCCGCTGAGCTCATTGGAACTTTCAGAGCAGCAGAAATGTTTCGGTAATCTTCCCCAGCCTTGTGCCTAGAAACAATCCTGTCTCAGAGGTGTACAGACAATTCCTTTGTCTTCATGCTTGGTTTGTGCTTTGGCATGCACTGTCAACCCTGGGACCTTATATAGACAGGTGTATGCCTTTTCAAATCATATCCAATCAGCTGAATTGACCACAGATGAACTCCAATGAAGCTGCTGAAACATCTCAAGAATGATCAGAGGAAACAGAATGTACCTGAGCTCAACTTAGAGCTTCACGGCAAAGTCTGTGAATACTGATGTACATGTGGTTTTTCAGGTTTTTCCCATTGTCTTTATGGGGTATTGTGTGAAGAATTTTGCGGAAATACATCAATTCTATCCATTTTGGAATAAGGCTGTAACATAAAAAAGTGTAGCGCTATGAATACTTTCTGGATGCACTGTAATTCGGGTAATGATGAGCTGATGTTAAGAGGATTTGCAGTGCACAGGTGAACATATCTTTTTAAGAGTTTTGTCAACATTTAAGTGGACAGTTCGTCCAAAATTGAACATTTACTCAGTATTTACTCTCCCTGAAAGGTTTCGAAGCTTTTTTCTGATGAACACAAAAGAAGATATTTTGAAAAATGTTGGAAATTGGTAACCGTTGACTTTGTCTATTGGTAACCATTGACTTGATGTCTTTAAGGAACAGTGTTATAGTTATAGTAATTTAATTATGGAGAACTATTCTACAGGAGTGATGTACAGTACTGTAAATGTTTAATAATGTTAGTTGGAAATAATGTCGTTGTTGTTTAGAGATGCATTTAAGAAATTAATTATGGATGATATAGAACAACATCACAATAATC